CAACCAGGCTGCGAACGCATGGAGCCGGCGCGCGCGCGCTTAAAACGCACGCGGAGGGGAGAGAGGGAGGAGCAAGAGGCGGGCGGGCGGGCGCGATAGAAAATCATTTTTTTTTTCTGGGTATACGCCTGCGCTAACTTAGAGAGCGCGGTCGGCCCGCCTTCTCCCCGAAGCTGTTTTCTATAGGCTGGGATTTCAGAGAGGGCGGGGTGAAGGGCGTGTCCCCGGACGACCGAGCTTGAGCACAGAATGAATGAGGGAAGGTGGGGAGGGACGGCGAATTCTGCTGGCTGAGGGTTTTCTGCCGCCCGGAATTTTTTTGCAGCCCGGATGGAATAGCATTGGTTTATTTAGTTGCTCGCATTTATTCGCTTGACGTATATCCGTGCCTTTTTGCGCTGGCGAGCGCTCACAATGGCCAAGGGCATTTAAAAATATATATACTAAAAATTAAAGATTGCAATACAGTCTATGGGAAGCAAAAGTTGGACTTTAAGGAAGCAGGATAGGAAGAGGATTGACGCTTTGGAACTTGGGGGATGGAGAAGACCCCTGAGGATACCAAGGCCAGACAAGAGAACAAACCGATGGATCACTGAACAAATCAACCCAGAGTTCTCCCTCGAGGCACAAATGACCAGACTCAGATTATCCTACTTCAGACACGTTATGCAAAGGCCCAGCTCTGGAAAAGGTTCTAATGCAGGGAAAGGTGGAAGGAAAGCAAAGAAGAGGACGACCAGCAGCAAGGTGGATGGACTGAGTTACAGTGGCGATGGGTGCGCCATTGGAAGACCTGAAGGACCAGGTTAGGGACAGATCATCATGGAGAAAATCTATTTACAGGTAGTCCTCACTTAATGACCACTATAGGGACTGGAAAATTGGTCATTAAGCAGAGCAGCTGTTAAGTGAGTCACCACATGATGGACCCTATTTTATGACCATTTTTACAACGGTCGTAATGCAAATCACTGCAGTTGTTAAGCAAATCATGTGATCGTTAAGCAAATCCAGCTTCCCCAATGAACTTTTTTGCCAGAATTCACTTAATGACCACTATAGGGACTGGAAAATTGGTCATTAAGCAGAGCAGCTGTTAAGTGAGTCACCACATGATGGACCCTATTTTATGACCATTTTTACAACGGTCGTAATGCAAATCACTGCAGTTGTTAAGCAAATCATGTGATCGTTAAGCAAATCCAGCTTCCCCAATGAACTTTTTTGCCAGAATTCACTTAATGACCACGTGATTTGCTTAAGAACT